GAGGGACAGAGTGAGACTCCAACTCAAAAAAAAAAAAAAAAAAAGAAGTCTTAATGTTAAAGGATTGAACAGTGACAACTTTGAAATTATAAGCATTTTTAAAATAAGGAAAATCAGCTGGGCTCGGTGGCTCAGGCTGTAATCCCGTGCCTTTGGGAGGCTGAGGTGAGTGGATTGCCTGAGCCCGTGGGTTCGAGACCCACCTGGGCGGCGAGACCTCATCTCTACAATAAATCAAAAAATCAGCCGGGCGTGGTAGCGCATGCCTGTAATTCCAGCTACTTGGAAGGCTGAGGCGGAAGGATCACCGGAGCCCAGCAGGTCGAGACTGCGGTGGCCGGAAGCGGCCACTCCACTCCAGTCTGGGCGACAGAGTGAGACTCCAACTCAAAAAAAAAATAATAATAAGGAAAATGGATGGCATTGACGGATAAAGACATAAAATATAAGCTTAAGAAACTGAGGAATCAGAAAAGGAGTTAATTTGGCCCCAAGATTCCATAAGGAAATCCATCATTATCTTCTAGGAAAAATGGTACCCTAAGTAGAAGAGTTTGCACGTTGCAGAAAATCAGTCTGGACATTGAATTATCTTTTAAATGTATCAATAATCTTTTTGCCCTAATTTTAAACCAGAATCCCCAAAGCTTTATTTTGAATAATTTTTATATTTATATAATGATAGGAATTTGAATATTGAAGGAGATAGAAGAGTATATTATAAAGACACAGCATTTAATTGCTTAGGAAAATACATATAACTTTTTTTATATTTTTCTGTCTTAGCCTATCCTTTATTTTTGGTAACTTTACCAAGTGAAACTTTTTAGAAAAACTGATATTATAGTGCGTAATTAGAAGACTTTGAGGGGAATTGAAAATATTTGTTATTTAAAAATTAACCTGAGAACAACTTGATTGCAATTAAGCTGGCCTAGTCCTTCATAGTCTTCTTTGCAGCCAGTTTTTAAGCAGTTCAGTTAGTGTAAATCTAAAGTTAAGTGGCATTTTAGAGACAGGTCCCTGCTTTGCACAGCTCCAGGGGGCACTGCTCACATACGTGGAGCACATAGCCTAGATGGTGGTGCGAAGTGGCCTTGGCTCAGCTGATTGCCTGGGTGATTTCCAAGGAAAGATGGAGGCAGAAGAATGCCCTGAGCCAGTTATTCTCTGTAAATTAAGTGTTTGGGGAGACATGTCAGTTATTTTATCTGCCCACAGATTAATTTATCATCATCCTGCAGAAGAAAGTGCTAACCAAGTCTGCGTCTGTAAAGTTAGCCACTTTTTTCTGTTTAAAGTTTTAACTAACACCAGGTGATCCTCAGTTAACACAAGCACATCATGGGGGCCGGAGACAAGGTAGAAGGTTATGCTAGAAGTCTAGGTCTGCTCAGGATTCCTCTTCAAAAGGAAGCAAACTGCTTGTTCAGGGGAATATCACACGTTGTATACCTAGTCTAAAGCAGCTTCTCAGGCAGGAGAATTCCAAGCACAGTTTTCTTACCCAGGTCTAATATGTTCAGGTGATTTATCTTCAGGATCAGCATAGCTGTGCCCTCTGGCAGTTCATCATGAAAAATCTGAGTTTTCACAGTAACCAAATCTGATTCTTCATGTATTACTCTTCCTTGCGTTCTTCCTTATTTCAGTTCTGTGTAATTCCTGTGCTTTTTCTTTGGAGTACCACTCCTCTGCTTACCTGTTTCGTTCTCTTTTGTATCTAGGCCTACAACTCTTGGGCATGCCCAATAAGGACTTAAGCTTTTCACTCTATGGTCCCTATTACTGTGCTGCAGTTTCCTTGGGCAGATGACCCTTCCTGACATTACCTTCAGTTGTGACTTCTCTTTTTCATAACTTTGATAACTTCTGTCCACTCAGGAACGACTAAAACTCTTATTTAGCCTTATTAAACTATTAGGATCACTGGTGGATCCTAAGCCAATGGATCATACTGAGGTTCAGGAAATTAGGGATAGAGAATTGTGCCAGACTGATTCATAAAGTGGGAAAATTTTTATTTGGGGCCTGTAATTTAAGATATCATGGCTGGGCTCAGTGGCTCAGCCTGTAATCCCAGCACTTTGGCCAAGGCAAATGGATTGCCTGTGCCCACGGGTTCGAGACCAGTCCGGGCAAGTTGGCAAGACCTCATCTCTACAATAAAATTTAAAAAAAAAATTAGCTGGGTGTGGTAGCACGTACCTGTAGCTCTGGCTATTTGGAAGGCTGAGATGGAAGGATCGCTGGAGCCCAGCAGGTCGACGCTGGGGTGGTCATGAGTGTGTCACTGTACTCCAGCCTGGGCGACTGTGAGACTCCAGCTCAAAAGAAAAATCACTATTCCTTGTACGTCTGAATCAAGCAACAATTTTGGCAAGTGCATCACCTTTTAGAAAGGTAATACAGTTTGAACAAAGAAGTTTTAGAGCATTCACAAAGGATTATGAACTTTATAGAGAGTGAAATAAAACAGTTGAGGAAGTTTCAACTGAAATTTCATATTGATTGCCTGCATTCTGCTGCCTGTCTTAATCCTTGAATTTAAAAGTTTGGTAATTTATTTCCCAACCCAAGGAAAACATGCCAATGTAAATGAGTATTATATAGAATATGAGGTCTAACTGAAAGAGAAGAAAACTCAAATTTTATGGTTTTTAGTGAGTTAAGAGACTTAATCATTCTTCATCAACATCAGAGCTAGATTATCTTTCAATAGTTACATATGCAGCCACATAAAGATGAGTCTATATTTGGATCCTGGAGAATTTGTAATGATGAATCTATTAGGGCTATATTAATTTTAGACTTGGGAATGAGAAAGTAAGAGTCCTTCCTTCCTTTGTGCATATTTTTTACTCTGTTAAAGAATATCCATTTTAATGGAATACTTTAATTATAGAAAACTTACAACATATTTTATAGACAGTAGATATATAGAATAATTACATTATTCCATAAATGTATTTTAGATGTGAGGATTGGATGCCTTTTTCTATAGAAAGCCACTAAACTAGTCATAAGGAGAAAAAACTGTCAAAATGTCTATATACCTGTAAAAAGAACTTTTAGGCTAACTTCAATGTATACTTTTATAGAGAAAAATGTCCAATTCCTTTGCTTTTAAGATTCAGACAGCAAACATAAAACTTTATTCAAATGTAGCACTTCTGCTTCCAATTAAGCTAGAGTCGTGGGATTGGATTTATCCTCCCACTTGAAAAACAGGAGAAACAAAGTACATGAAACAGTAGTTATTTGATATCAGGCAATAAAGGACAGTGATTCAGTTTCCTAGCTACAGCATAGTAAAGGAGAACCCAGGCAGCTCCCTACAGATTCCCTGAGTTGAGGAGATAGAAACGAGAGGAAGACCAGCACGACTAGAGTTCACGGGACAGCATGCTAGAGAGGAAGGAGGTATAACAGAAATAGAGCTCTGGATGTAGGCAGAGGGTCCCTGTCAAGTGTTTGGTGCAGACATCTGAGGATACTATCCAAGACTGGGAAAGAACCATCTGAAAGAATTAGAAGAAACAGTGCCAGGCACTCACTAAGGGCTACAAATAGTACCTGTTCTCACCAGCCAGATTGGGAAAATGCACAATTCACAGGGTGTTGGATATAATGTGCTACATATGCTATATACCCTCTTGCCTCAAGAGAGGAGAATAATTAGCCCTAGATCAAGCTCTGCTCTAGACCTGCCTAACAAATCATAAGACCAAGACTGAAAGCATCAGACTACTGCCAAGCAACTTAAGTGCATCCCAGAACAAAGTTCAAGAATATAAGAATAAAATAAGTTATCATCTATCAAAATAAAATTCATTGCATCTAGCATACAAGCAAGGATTATCAGGCATGCAAAGAAGTAGGAAAACATGATCTATAGTGAGCAGAATAATTCATCAATTAAAACTGACCCAGAAATTAGAATTATCAGGCCACTGTGTGTGTGTGTGTGTGCATTCCAAATAATATATATATTTTTTTGAGTCAGAGTCTCACTCTGTCACCCAGGTTTGAATGTAGTGGAATGCTCACGGCCACCACAGCCTCAGCCTTCCAAGTAGCTGGAACCTCAGCCATGTGCCACCGTGCCCAGCTAATTTATTTATTGTAGAGACAAAGTCTCACCAAGTTGTCCAAGCTGATCTCAAACCCCTGGGTTCAGGCAGTCCTCTCACCTCAGCCTCCCAAAGTGCTGGGATTACAGGCATGAACCACTGTGCCCAACTAGGCCATAATATTAAAACAGTGGTTATAATTGTATCCTATATATTCAAAAAGTTAAGTAGAAACATGGAAGCTGTAAAAAGACCCAAGTCAGTCTTTGGACATGAAAACCAAAATGCCTGACATGAAAAATGCACTAGGTTGGATTAACAGCAGATGAAATTTTGCAGAAGAAAAGACTGGTGTATTTTAAAATAGAAACCATCCAAAATGAAACAGAAAAAAAAAAGAATTTTAAAAATATGACATCCATGAGCTGTAGGGTATCTTCAAGAAATGTGTAATTAGAGTTATCAAAAAGAGCGTGTTTGGGAGAGGAAAGGTTGCTAAACCAAAAAAAAAAACTGAAAAGTTTTTCAAATTTGAT